GCGTCTCTTCCCGATGGCACATGCCTAGAACCTTCACCTGAAAACATTGTAAACCACGGGGTGAGACAAAACGTCCCAGTAACCAACCTTTCCAATTCAAGGTACTACTAAATGGGTGCTTGTGAGGTGTCAAGTGGGACAGTTCACAAATAATATGATAAATGATAGCCACAATACACTACTACAAATTGGGGAATACTTGACGCTAAATATTTGACGGTTATCATAAAAACCGTCAAATATAATCCCACCGAAAGAAAACTTGACGGTTTCTAAAGAAAGCGTCAATTTTAGTAGAACAATATTTGACGGTTTCAAAGAAACCGTCAAGTATTCCAAAAATACTTGACGGTTATAAAATAACCGTCAAGTATATTAAAGGTAAACTTGACGGTTTTAAATCAAAACCGTCAAGTTTAGTAATACTTGACGGTTTTGATCTAAAACCGTCAAATATTATTTGAGAATACTTGACGGTTATCAATAGAAACCGTCAAGTATTGTGCTTAAAAACCCGTCCCTTTCCCCTGTTCAGTCTCTTCAGTTCAAAATTTCTAGCGCCCCCTCCGCTTCGGACTCTCCAAGCCGCCGTACCCACCTCTGTTTCGGCCGTTCCCTTTTGGTTTTTGTGCCCGTCCTTGCTCGTTCTCCATCATCGTCCCTCTCGGTGTCCTCCATTATCGTTGCGGCATCCTCCTGCTTCTCCAGATTGTCATTTCGGCTCCAGGTTGGTAATGCTTCACTCGCTCCCCTTATTTCCTTTAGTTCTTCCTTTGAGAAATGATTGTAGTGGAAAGGGAATGATAGGATAATGCTAGGACCGTTCACCATGCACACACAGAAAATGGGTTTGCTATTTGGCCGAATGGGTTTTCTTTTCTGTTCTTGATTCTAAATGGGTGTTTCGCATTTTGATCAGTTTGGGTTTAGGGTGTTTTAGTTTTTGGTTTTCGTGATAAAGTCTGGGGAATGCAATGCTAATGTTTCAATTTTTGTTTTTGTAATTGAAATTGACTATGTGCTGGTTTGGTTTTCTGCCATAAAGCTTGGGGAATTCTAAGTTATAAGCCGTTATGCTGTCGAATCTTTTTCAAATGGAATAGCACATTAGTAGTAGTAGAATATTTTTCAAACTGAAATGAAAGTAAATTTTTGTTGAATTACTAGTTGTTAACAACTACTAGTTGTTAGCAAGTAGAATTAAAGAGGGATAAATGTGATCAATAGTGACTCATGTGTTGACTTTCTATTTTTGTTTAATTCTCATAATATCTTTGAGTCACTGATCACATTTCCTGTAAATGATTCATCTTAGTCGGGGACCATGGGCAAAGAATGGATGTCCGCCAATCGTCTATCAAAAGAATATTGGGATGGGGTAGAAGATTTTATTAAGTTTGTGATTGAGCACGCCGATGATCGCAACAGGATTATTTGCCCTTGTCTTAAGTGTTGCCTTTTGAAGTGGGTTTCGCCATCCGATTGTGAGAGCCACTTAATTATCAATGGAATTGATCAAAGTTACAAGTGTTGGACAAAGCACGGAGAGACAAGAGATGTGAGTAATAGTAGTCGAGGGCATAGTGAAAGCTGTGGATCATCTAATCTTGACATGAGTACATGTGAAGCTGATCGTCTTGAGGAGATGACAGATGCGATTGAACGGGAACTTGACGATTGTCCTGAAATGTTTGATAGATTGAAGTGTGATGTTGAGACACCTCTATATGAAGGTTGTACTGATTTCACAAAATTGTCTGCAGTGTTGAAACTGTATAATTTGAAAGCAAGAAATGGGTGGAGCGACACAGGCTTCACAGAACTGCTGTTGCTTGTTAAACAAATGCTACCGAAAGAAAATGAGCTTCCAAGTAAAACGTATGATGCAAAGCAAGTGTTGCGCTCTGTCGGCCTCAGCTATGAGAAGATACATGCTTGCCCCAATGATTGCATTTTGTTTAGGAAGGAGTATAAGTCACTAACTGAGTGTCCTAAGTGTAATGCATCACGCTACCAAGAGAATGGGAAGAGCCCGAAGAAGGCATTATGGTATTTTCCCATAGTGCCAAAATTCAGACGCTTGTATAGTAATGTAGAAGATGCGAAAAATTTAAGGTGGCATGCAGATGAAAGGGTTAAAGATGGCATGCTTTGCCATCCTGCTGATTCTCCAGAATGGAAGAAGTTTGATATTGAGTATCCTGAATTCGGGGAAGAAGATAGAAATCTACGCCTTGCATTAGCTACCGACGGGATGAACCCTTATGGGATGCAAAGCAGCACCCATAGCACATGGCCAGTGATTTTGTTTATATATAACCTTCCTCCATGGCTATGCATGAAACGCAAGTATTCAATGATGTCTATGATAATATCTGGGCCAAAGCAACCAGGAAATGACATAGATATATATCTAGCTCCATTAATTGAAGACTTGAAAGTATTGTGGGAGAATGGAGTTGATGTATATGATGCATATAAGGAAGAAAAATTCAAGTTGAGAGCTATGTTATTTGGCACAATTAACGACTTCCCTGCATATGGTAATCTCTCAGGGTATAGCATTAAAGGACAACTTGGTTGTCCCATTTGTGAAGAGAGCACAGATTCCATAAGGTTGAAGCATGGAATGAAAAATTCATATATGGGACATCGTAGATGGTTGCATCGTGATCATCCTTACCGGTGATACAAAAAATATTTTAATGGGAATTCAGAAGAAGGTAAGGCACCAACACCGTTGATTGGGGAGGATGTATTTCAAAAGGTGAAAGATATAGATTGTGAATTTGGAAAACCTTTCGCGAAGCATGTTGGGACAAGTGGGTGGAAGAAGAGGTCTATTTTCTTTATACTGCCGTATTGGATAACCCTGAATGTGAGACATTTTCTTGATGCTATGCATATTGAGAAAAACGTATGTGAAAGTCTGTTTGGCACATTACTCCATATTCCCGGGAAGACTAAAGATGGCATAAATGCCAGGCTAGACATGGTTGAAATGGGGATAAGGGAGGAATTGGCACCAGAGGATAAGGGAACTCGTACATTTCTTCGTCCGGCAGCTCACACCCTTTCTAGAAAAGAGAAAAGTAGTTTTTGTGAGTTTCTTGCTTCAGTAAAAGTGCCGGAAGGTTACTCTTCTAACATTAGTAACCTTGTGTCAATGAAGGATATGAAGTTAAAAGGTTTAAAATCTCATGACTGTCATGTCTTAATGGAAAACTTTATTCCAGTGGCAATACGGGCTATTTTACCTGATAAGGTACGAGTTACGATCACAAAGTTATGTTTCTTCTTTAAGTCTCTTTGCAGCAAAGTGATTAATCCTAGTAAATTGCCAAGATTGCAAACCCGAATCATAGTTACGTTATGTGAACTTGAAATGTATTTTCCTCCGACTTTTTTTGACATCATGGTCCATTTAACCATCCACTTAGTTAGAGAGGTCCAATTGTGTGGCCCAGTGTATTTAAGATGGATGTACCTAGTTGAGCGTTACATGAAAATATTGAAAGGGTATGTGAAAAATCGAAGTCAGCCAGAGGGTTGTATTGTAGAACGATATATTTGTGAAGAGGCTACTGAATTTTGTACCCATTACTTAAAAAATGCAAGTGATATTGGGGTTCCAATGTCTCGTCATGAGGGAAGGACAGATGGAGAAGGGATTATGGGAAAGAAAGTCGTAACTATTTCAAACCAACAGTGGGAGCAGGCACATCTATATGTATTGCACAACTCCGAAGAGATTGAGGACTATGTGCATGAGCATATTGATGAGCTAAAGAGGGATAATCCCAATAAACTTGAAAGTTGGTACACCAAAACACACAATAAACAATTTACAGCATGGTTGAGAGAGCATGTGCATGGCAAGTATAATAATGATCCTAATTCTGTTTCGAAGAAATTAAAGTTGTTGGCAGATGGACCGAGTAAACATGTGATTTCTTTCACAAGCTACCTTATGAATGGATTCACTTTCTATACTAAACAACAAGATGATCGGAGTAAACAGCAAAATAGTGGCGTAACTCTTGTAGCTAGTACCATGCATATATCGAGTGCCAAAGATAAAAATCCTATCTATGCACGTATGTCATACTTTGGAGTGATTGAGGATATTTGGGAGTTGGATTACATTGAATTCAGAGTTCCGGTATTTGGTTGCAAATGGGTGGATAATAATAATGCATTGAGGATTGATGAATTAGGGTTTATACAATTGAATTTGAATAAAGAAGGATACAAGGAAAAGCCATTCATTTTGGCTTCTCAGGCTACGCAAGTGTTTTATGTCCCTGACCCGGCTGCCAAAGGATGGTCTATCGTTTTGTTGACTAATAAAATGGATATTGAAGAGACGGGGTATGAAGACAATGCAATTGAAGATGATCCATTTCAAGGGGCCTCACTTGATTCTCATTTAAATGAAGATCAATCCATGTATGTCAGGCATGATCACAACGACGGAATATGGATTTCAAAGAGGGGGAAAGTGTTTCGTAAGAAGATCAAAACAATTCAAACTAAGAAGAACATGCAAAAACATAAGAGTAGAAAAAGAAAAAGATCTTCTTAAACATGCATGTAAATTCTCTCATTATTTTCTTTGATTCTTTTATTTGTTTTAATTTTGTTCAAATAAATTTCGTCATTAATGACTTTATTTTCATTTAATGGATTCTGATTCATTTTGTTTACTTCAATTTCATTGCAGATGACAGACGATAGCGGATCTAGCACTGATAACCCATCTTAGCCGAGAGATGCCTCTGAGCAGGAGAGACAGTTGCAAGAGGAGGCAGCACGCATACAGAGGGGCCTTTGTGTCATGCAAGAGGTCGTGAAAGCTCGAACAGAAGGAAAGAAATTTGCCGTACAGTGGAATAAGAAAGGACAAGCTATACGGTCAAATAAATTTATCAGCTATATTGGGACAGTGGCACGAAGCACCGTGCCCATTACAGCGCAACATTGGAGGAGGGTTGATCGTTTAGTGCGAGACACTATTTGGACAGATGTATCGGTAATATATTATAACTCAAATTTTTCGTTTTCTTACAAGCTGCGTGACACTAATGTGTTGTTTTATATGTTTTGCAGTCTACATTTGATATAGATGAGAGCAGGAAGAGGTTTGTGGAGGGGAAGGCTGGGAGGGCACTACGCTCTTTCCAATATTTTGTCACACACAAGTACTTGAAGGATCCTTCCACAGCCGACGAGTCCCATGTTCCTAGCTTGATACGGGACTTGGTCAAACCAGAGGATTGGGCTGCTTTTGTGACGTCACGTCGTGATAGGCAATTTCAAGTAATAATCCTCGCTCTTTTTGATATTAAATAGTCCATTTTGTTTAATCTATATATTGTTTAATTGTGAATCTACTTTGTTTTTGCAGGAATTAAGTTCCCAAAATAAGGAAAGAGTAAAGAAGAATGAGTATCCCTACCGAAAGGGCCGCTTGGGTTATGCGGGCCTTGAGCAAGAGGTGACTCAGCAGGAGGGATCAGATGTCACCGTATCACGTCAGATGCTGTAGGCACTGGCCAGGCAAAATAAAGATGGCCAAATTGATAATCCTCGCGTTAAGGAGGTCGTGGACAGGATGGTGAGTATTATTCTAAATTAAATAATCTTCACGTTATTGTCAAATATCTTTAAGTATGAATAACTATATCAATGTTTGTTGCACAGGAGAGTTTGTCCCAGGAAGTTTCGCAGGGGGCATATTCTGCAGATGACCAGGATATATTGAGGAGGGCATTGGGGACTCCTGACCATCCTGGTCTTCTTAGGGGTGTCGGTTAAATAATACTTGACGGTTTTTCAAAAATAACCGTCAAGTATGTTTATAATACTTGACGGTCACTCTATGGAACCGTCAAGTATTACAGAATACTTGACGGTTTTTGGAGCCGTCAAGTATAATCTCAAAATAATTGGCGGTTTTTCTCTAGTAACCGTCAAGTATGATTTAAATATTTGACGGTTAATAACCGTCAAATATTTGCTGTTGAAATATATGACGCCAGTATAGTTGACGGTTTTTAACCGTCAAATATGATCCAAAATAACCGTCTAGTATTTTTCATTTTGTAGTAGTGATAAGTCATGCAAGTATCATGATGCAATCTCATCAACCATATCCCTCACTTTGGGGGGTTTTTAAGAGCCGAACCCAGCCTATCCCTCACTATGGGGGATGTAAGGAGCCATAAAGGCCTATCCCTCACTCTAGGGGACGTAAGGAGCCAAAAGGCCTATCCCTCACTATGAGAGACATAAAGAGCCAACCATCATGCATTAATGGAGGCCTTACCAAGTGGTAGTAACAATCAAAACTCTCACAAATTCCCCATTCATGCATCATGCCTAAACCGTAATCAAAGAGTAAATGATCATTTCACAATTAACTTCTTTCAGTGGCATAACTTTCACAAGTTCAAGATTCATTCAATATCAATCAAAACCCCACAAGATGGTTTTCCTTTTTAATATCCAACATACACTTTGAACATAGTTGTTACTCGAAGCACAAAACATAAACCAACTCACAATACCACAAAAGCATGTACAAAGGATTGGAAAGTGGTTACCTCTCGCCTGAGCAAGGAATAACAAACCAACAATACGGCCCCGTGCACCAACAAGGCTCACAACCGGTCTATACAAGCACACAAACACACAATCATTATGTATTAGCTTGCAACTAATAATGTGGCCAAAACAACATTTGGGGACACAAAATTCCTAGCTCCAACCATAACTCTACCAAACTAAAAAAGGTATAACCATCAAGGCAACACTCCAAGATCATAAAAATCCATTAAAACCTTAATTCCTTTCCAAACATCAATTAAAATTCATAACCTCAAGGACCCATTATAGGAATTCAACACCCAAACATCCCATTTGAACAATTGAAGTCTTAACAACATTCTAAACCTATTAAATATCCAATTTAACCCTCCTTAACATAACCCAAATCACAAAACTCAAAATCAACCTCCACATTATCATCCTCAATCACAAACCTCCGATTTTCATAAACCCTAACTTCAAAAACTCAAAGTTCTTTAAATCCAAGAAAACTACACTGATTAAATACTTAGACTAACCCAAAGCAATCAATTAAACTCAAAACAATCGGTCAAAAATCTCAATTCCATCACAACCTAGAGAACTCTAGGGTTTCACCATAAATCCTTAGAAATTCCAAGAAAGAAAGTAGATTAGAGGTTAAAATCACTTACTTGAGGTAATGGATCCTTAGAAATGCCCCCTCCAAGCCAGAAATTCGAAACCCTAGCAGAGCCTCTCTCTCTCCCTTCAGATTTTCTAATTTTTCCACATCTAACTTCTCCCTGCGACTATATAGATTCGACCCCCTTCGCCACGGTGAACTAATCCCGAGAGGGATTACTCGCCTGAAAACCTGACTTCGCCGCGGCGAACTCAATTCTTTGTCACGCCGAAAGCTTCCCGAAAGGAAACTCTTGCTTGCTCAGAAAACCTTCGTCGCAACATACCCCTAACTTCACCATGGGAAAACCTTCCCGAAAGGACACTCCCCCTAGAACTCCTAGTTCACCGCGGCGAAGAACAAACCCTGAGAGGGATTGTTTACCTATTCCTCTAACGTACCTCAATTCCAACCCAAACACCAAGATCAAGGTTAAATCACTAATCTATCCTCAAAATCAACCAAAAAGATGCTATTAAAACCCGATAAAACTCAGGACGTTACATCGTAGTCCCTCGAAGAACTAGTGGGACAATAATAGAGGCCAACCATAGAGCTCCATATGGAGGCCAATACCACGTGGCAAGTATATGAATCTCAATAACTCCAATTATCTTCTTTCCCCACCCAAAATGGATGCACAGGGTTCAAAATGACACATTTATATGCATAATCAACCGAATTTCATAATAACACATCATAATTATGATCACCAATTTCTTGCAATACAAACTATGTCAATCTTTTTTTTTTTAAGTAGCATCCCACAAGACAGTTCATACAAAACATAATATACTTTTATAGAATTGATTAGTTATAAAGCCGCTTACCAACTTCATACTAGAGTATGCAACAGATAGAAATTTAGTTACCTGGTCTCCTAGCTAACAGTCAAATATAACCAAAGTCCAACCTCGAAAATACCACAGTAGAGTTTATATCTACAAATGAAATTAAAATGTTATCTTTATAGTATTAGAGTAGACTATTCACAAAATTCTAGCTTCTAATTCTTCCTCTAAAAGCTTTAATTTTTACTCAGAATTTTAGCCTAAAAGACCTTTTTCTAAGGTTTGGAATGAGAAAATATATATATAATTTAGACTTGATTCCTAAATTTTTCTTGCTTAAGCATCCTTTAATTATTAGATTATATTATTAGAAGCATCAAATTCATAACATAAATAGACAAACTGTAATTTATAACTTTTATTCTATCTTTGAATGACTTAGATAAATAGATTTAATATGAGCCAGGTTATTCTCAGGACAAAAGTTAAACCCTTAATCTGACCGTTGAATTTAATTTCCTATCTATCATGATACTATCCTCCAAATTATAGCCTAATCTAACGGTGAACGAACTTTAAAATGCGAATTTACTATTCAGGACTTTATTTGTTAAATCTTAAAAAAAAAAAGTTAAAAACGTACCTAATAACTTGTAACTCGGAGATAAAATAATGATCCAACCGTTGAAATTAATGATTTGGATGTTTCAAATGGGCTAACCAAATTTTAGTCCGATCCAACGGTTAATAAACTTAAAAATAGCACTTTTCTGAGACCACCTCAAATATGTGCGAAAATTATTTACTCACTTCAGGCTTCACCCACTATCTTCTATATATAGGTTCTTCAAACTCCTTCACTCTAAAGATTGGTCGATATGAGACTTCTATACCATACTATAATTTTCTAGAATATCATCCACACACACACACTCACACACACACTCACACACAAAAACATTATTAAAATAATAATAATAATTTACCTATATCTAAAAAATTTTTATTAACTTAATACTAAAATATATTTATTTATAAATTTAATTAAATACTAGATAAAAATAAGGATGTTACATAATCTGTTGTTAAATTTAGCAACAGAATTTTCGTTGGTAATCCGTTGGAAATTAGTAATGGAATAATTTTTCATCGCTAATTCTACAGGTAATAAGCCTTTTTTTTGTGTGTAGTGTTTGCTTTTGAAAAATTAATAGTTCAAGAGAAAAATTACACCACAAAATATTTTAGAGTGCTAGAAGTATCTGAAAAATATTTTAGAATACTAGACACCTATTATTTGATGTTTGCCACACCTAACAAAATATTTTACGATACTCGATCGGACGCATCTTAACCTTTTATTTTTAAAATTATTATTAAAATGTTAAATTATAAAAAGTAAATAAATAATAAAATATGAACTGCCAAATTTTAGTTTCAACCGTTTACAGACTTTTAAAAATATTTTATAAATAAGTCTTAAAAACACCTCCCTCCCTGCACACACGACAGATCTTGATGTTCCATCTTCGAGTTCTAAGGCGCTTCTTCGAATGCTTGCTATCCTTTAAGGTCTTAACGTTCTCGTTAATTACATTCAAATGATTGCTTTTGCAAATAACTTTATGTCCTTATTAGACTATAATAACAAGATGACATTTAACACTGGAGCCAATAGAACACTTTGGTATGCCTTGAGCTAGTTCAATCAATATTCAAAATCAAACAATTAAAATTCTGAAAAATACTATCTCCGAATTTTAATATAAAAACCAGTTAAAAATTTAACTTAATCTTGAATATAATACTTTAATACATTTTATTGCTAATATTTATTTATTTATTTTGCCTTCAAATAATTTATATGTTAAGTAGTTTTCTTGAAGAGTAATTTTAATATATATGGCTAATAGAAGTATTTTAAAGAAGACAATTTTTATTTATTATAAATAATTAATTTAACTAATTTGTTTTAATGTTTTTAAATTAGTTATCTAAATTTTTATGTCAAGAATCATTGACTTCCAGTTAATACAATCCACCGTGGCTCTTACTTCGTTATATGGTAAAGTACTTGCCAGACATAACTCCCATTGACCTGTCTCCATAGTCTCTGATTTCCCATGATCAAGTACTCTTACATAATCCTACTAATAGCAAAGAGCAGCACATCCGTATACATCATCCCAGCCAGAATATCTTCACTAATTTTAGCTTCATTGCATTGAGCTAATTTTTAGTCCAAGCATTTTCATATAACTCCCTAATTAACATGTCAACAGTGAATTGGATGTTAAGCAGGTGAAGGTAATAATATATTTTCAAGAAGATTGAGTAAAGATTTTTCAGGAATTGTGTGGATACTTTTTCTTTGACCAAGATACACCTAGAATTAAGGGAATGTTTGGATAGAAACCAAACCATAGTTTCAGAAGTGCTTTTACGGTTTATGAAGTAAATATGTGGAGGAATTTGTCTCATTTTAGAGAAAAGTGCTTCTGAAACCATGGTTTGGAGGTTGTCAAACACCCCATAATTAGTTTATGGGAATAAAATGTAATGCAACCCACTTTGGATAGAATAAATATGATAGTACTTGGCTTCAGTGTCGACTTGTAGAGGGTAGCAAATCCATGAGATGTACGTTGTGTGTGTGTTTTGGCCTGTGAGGTAGTTTTTAGTGGGAGAAGTGACCAGGCAAGTGGGTTTGAAAAGTCAAAGCCACCATGTAACTCATTGCTCGACTGGGTAAATAAAATGACCTCTCTTTCCAGGAAATCGCATCTATTTCATCAAGTTTGTTTCATTTTAAACTGTTTCTTCAAGATTTTGCTCCTTAAATCCCAACAGAACTGGAAAAAATAGATAAACAGAGTCAGTGATGAGAGAGAGACAAACCGCTGTGCCCAGGGTGACTAAGCCGCCCACAATCGTCGTCGCCTTCCAGTTATTCTTCTTCTTCCAGCTCCTTTCCACCATCGCCTCCTACAATCCTGATGATCATTTCTCAGTCAACTGCGGTGGTTCCGACAGTTTCTCTTCTTCATATGGCCGGAACTGGACCGGAGACACAGATTCCGGTCTATTCTCTCCAATCGAACTCTCCAACAGCAATAAGTCATCAGTAGGCGACAACGTAGATGGCAAACCGATCCCTTACAACACCGCACGCTTCTCTCGCTCCGAATTCTCCTACTCGTTTCCTGTGAAGACCGACGGCCAAAAGTTTGTTCGCCTCTACTTTTACCCATATTACTACCACCCCGACTTCCTTCGCCCCGATGGTTTCTTCTCCGTCAAAGCAGGGCCCCACATCCTTCTTAAGGACTTCAACGCTTCAGTTAACGCCGACGCTGGCGCTTCACTTGAAGATGCTGCTCCAGAAGGAGCCATCGTGCGCGAGTACTGTGTCAACGTTGACCCAGGTCAGAGTCTGAACATAACCTTCACGCCCAGCGGATCTGATCCGAACGCCTATGCTTTTGTCAATGGGATTGAGGTCGTCTCTATGCCCGATTTTCTTTATTACACAGACCCAGAAAACCTGCAGGGGATGATGCTAGATGGTGGAAACCAACAGTATCCAGTTCGGAACAGCAGTGCTCTCGAGACTCTGTACAGAGCTAATGTTGGCGGCAGTCAGATAGGTCCCAATACAGACACAGGCATGTTTCGTTATTGGGAGCAGGATAATGCCTACTTGAAGAGGGAGCGCCCAAATAGTGTATCCCATGATTTGGGTTTAACGATAGATCACACAAATTATCCAAATTACACTGCACCGGACGCAGTATACCAGACTGCTCGAAACTATGGGATGAAGGAAAAGTCCAGATTTAACGTGACCTGGCAGTTTCAAGTGGATTCAGCGTTTCATTATATGGTGAGATTGCATTTTTGTGAGTTTGATGAAAAAATTCATAACGCTGGAGACAGAGTTTTTCAGATTTTCATCAATGATGCTTTGGTGGAGTCTCTTGCTGATGTGATGATGTGGACTCACAAAGTATTGGCTCCTATCCATAAGGACTATGCGGTGTCGATGCCAAGTGATGATGAGAAGTTAAAGCTGAATCTTTCAATTAAGTTGCAACCACACCCAACTGTAAGAAGCACTTACAGTGATGTTTTATTGAATGGTATTGAAATTCTTAAAATAAGTGCGGACTATAATGACAATCTTGGGAGTCGTAGTTCGAATCCACTTCAATCTCCATCCACGCCATCCTCCAGGTCATCGAGGAACGGAAACAAAGCAAAGGTAATTTCCATTATCATTGGGGCTACATCAGGCTTCATTGTGTTGTCTCTCGTTCTTTTGTTGATTTTTCGACGATTAATGGAAGGAAGTTCATGGTGGGGACAAAAATCAATAGATTCGTCCCAAAAAAAAAAACAAACCCATGGATCATCATTAACGACCGATTTTTGTCGTTACTTTTCTATAGATGAAATAAGAGCAGCCACCAATAATTTTGATAATATGTTCATTGTGGGCGTTGGAGGGTTTGGTGATGTCTATAAAGGCTACATTGATAATGGTACAGTTCCGGTGGCAATCAAACGGCTCAGGCAAGGTTCCCAACAAGGACTCAGAGAGTTTGAAACTGAGATTGAAATGCTCTCTCAGCTTCGTCACCATCATTTGGTATCTCTTATTGGTTACTGCAACGATGACAACGAAATGATCCTTGTCTATGAGTTCATGGCTCGTGGGACTTTCCGTGAGCATCTTTATGATTCTAAAAACCAACCACTTTCTTGGAATCAAAGGCTGGAGATTTGCCTAGGTGCTGCTCGAGGATTGCATTACCTACATACAGGGGCAAAGCATGCAATCATTCATCGCGACGTCAAGTCGACAAACATCTTAATAGATGAAAACTGGATGGCCAAGATTTCCGATTTTGGGCTATCCAAAATAGGACCTGGGGGTATTTCTAGATCGAACATTAACATAAGCACATTAGTAAAAGGAAGCATTGGATACATGGATCCAGAATACTACACATGTCAAATATTGACGGAGAAGTCAGACTTGTACTCATTTGGAGTTGTGTTGCTAGAGGCATTATGTGGGAGGCCTCCTATTCTCCGTGCTGTGGAGAGGGAGCGGCAAAACCTTGTAGAGTGGTTTCAAAAATGTGTTGATCAAAATGAGATTTGTGAGACGGTGGATCCAAACTTGAGGGGAAGTATAACAGAAGAGTGCTTAAAAGCATACACTGAGATTGCGTTGAAATGCTTGGCTAATAATGGGAATGAACGGCCATCCATGGGCGATGTGATGTTGGGGCTAGAGTCTTTGATGGAGTCGCTGAACGAAGCAGAGAAGAAAAAGCTTGGTGGGACTCTAAATGAGGAGGTTACTGTTGAAGAAGGCATAGAGGAAGTGAGGCTCGATGTGGACAAAATTGAAGGAAGGAGCAAGGAAAGAGCTCTGATTAGGAAAGCGACAAAAGCTGTAGAAAGAGAAGCAGGTTTTACGAGCAGTGATGGATCAAGGAGTTAATCAAACAGCAGTAAGTTGAAGAGGTCAAGCGGCGAGCATTTTAAGTTAGATCATCCAAAAGTTTGATGAAATGAAGGTCACTAATGTAGGCTATGGTTATCTGATGATTTTAAGTTACATTCATTTCCATATATATATATGTGTGTGTGTGCGTGGTTGAGATTTGAGAACGTTGTGTAATTATATTTCCGATGCGCCAAACAATTTGGTTCAGTCCTTTTGTATCTGCATATATGAGTAACTATTAGATGGAAGACAAATTGCAATTATCTGACTTATGCTACACACAACAGAATTATGATTTTGTCACTGCCAAAAATATTAAATATAATTAAAATAAAGCCAAGATAATTTTAATTCAAAAAAGCCAATTCCAAAACAAAAATGAGGTCAATTTTCTATTGAAGAGTTCAAAACATTAACAAATCAAGAACTTGTTTCACTTGCATATCATAAGGAATTCGAACAACCGCTTCAAATACAGTATCAGGAAGTACCGCTTGTGGAACTTTGATATCCACGCCCCCAGAATCAATTAACTTGTGGGAATAAAATGTGACGCAACCCATTTTGGATGGAATAAATATGATAGTATGCTTGGCTTCAGTGTAGGCTTGTAGAGAGTAGCAATGGTCTTATGAGTAAATTAACGCAAATCTATGAAGTATATTGTGCCGGCAATACACTTAATTAGTAAGAATATTTAATAAAAAAAAACACCTATTTGTTACAAATAACTAACTTAACTTTTTTTCTTAATCTTCTCAAATTAGTCAACTAGCTCTTATAATTAAGATCGAAGATAGTATATAGGACTAACATTAATCCGTAATTAGTTCATGTATTAAGTATAAGAGGAGTGTGTGCGTGTGTATATCACGGCATCAAGGGTTAAAAGCTTGATGTTTACTTGGTTGAAGTGATGTTGCTTGAAGTATCGTGGGAGTGCTTGAAATCAGCACAAAGCACTTTTAAAAAATATTTTTATATAAGTTGAGACAAAATTATTCTTACATGCTTACTTTGTATACCGTAAAATCATTTTTAAAATTTTTATTTGGTTTCTATCCAAACTCACCACGCATAGAATATATGCCAAATCTATATATCTTTGGAGGTTTCACTGTCTCCAAATCTATCACACTTCCAAGAAAGTGGCAGATCACAAGTTAGATGCAATGTATTGAAAAACGAGTGGTGATGAATATTTCGAATTTGAGATTATCCGAAGAAGAGAACATAATAACCAGGGATGTCTAGGTCTTCCACGCTGGCGAATGTGACAGATTAAATTGATATTGCTTGACGAATTCCAACGAATGCCCAAACTTGAAGGCAGGGGGCTCTATCGAGGAATAGGACAAACGTGGAACAATATATGAAGTTACCTTAGAGCCTTTTTCGATTCATCATGAAAGAAAATGAACTTCTAGAAAAAAAGCCACACAAAAGTTAAGATAATTAATTTTTATTTTATTTAGGGTAAAAATCAATTATTGTAATGTGATTTATATTTGAATTAGGATAAAAATGAATTATTGTAATGTGATTTATATTTGAATTGACTTTTTTAAAAGTTGCACAAAAGTTAGGATGTGCTTGGACTAGTGATGCTGATAAATTTTTGAATGAGGGATTTATTTCCTATTTTCTCAATAAAAATTTGATATGCATAAATATTTTCTAAATGAGCGCTCATTAAAGTTTATATATTATTTTTATAATTAAAATATGAATATTTTTATCCATTTTAATTAAATCATATTATATTGCACAAGGAAATGCAAAGAGACTGAGGGTTTGGTTTTCAACCATATTAACATTTTCTTAATTTATAGAGATGCCATGTAATCCTAGTAAATCTTACGGGACAATTTCTGTTAATAACTTAGGGGCAAAATTAACCATAGAGGGCTCAATGTCTATAATTCATAGTATTGAAAACCGGACTAGCCTCTAAACCGGTTAGGATAGTAGGTCAAGAGTTAGTGGGTCAAATCAAAGTCAAATTGGCAGTCAAACTAGTAAGAAATAAAAAAATTAAAAATTAATTTAAATTCTTGTCATGTCATCAATTTAATACCTGGAATTTGTAACAAAATAATTATATACTTATATTTTCTTTCTATTTTTCTTACAATTCCCTTGACAAATTGACATCATAATATCATATTATTAAAATCACTAAATATTCATTCAAGTAAAATATCAAAATAGATTTATGCCAACAAAATATTCCTATCTACAATAATTCTTTAGTCTCTAATTAATAATGTTTTAGCATCAAAAGTATTTTTAAAAAAATAATTGGGTTAACCTACCAAACCGGCCAGGTTAGCCAAGTTTCTCCTAGGTTGACTGGGTTATAGCGGGTCACACCTAGTTGACCCGTCTACCAGTTTTTGCAGTCAACTGGACCTACCAGGTAACCAGTTTTCAGTCCAACCTAGCTGGTCTAGTCCAATTTTTAATACTATGCTAAAATTAAAATGTCAAGAAGATTATATGCAACTAACCTGAAATTCAGGAGAGTTTTATATATTTTAACAGCTAAATTATATATTTGGTCCTTTAACTTTCAAAAGTGTACTTTTAGTCCTTTAACCCTATGATGATATTAAGATCTTAAATGTTGATAAAATATTCTCAAACGCTAACATATGAGTTTAATTTTCAAAACATCCATGATTGTCACAAAAAATCATCATCAAATCCTAATGATTTTAGGGTTAAAGGACAAAATGTATGCCTTTTAAAGTTAAGAGACCAAATTGAAATCTTGTACAAAGTTAAAGAACTAAATATGTACTTCAACGTATTTTAACTAATTAGAAATAATTTATAAATAGGATGAAAGTTGTAATTGTGTAATATTTGATATAGAATAAAGATTGGCCTAGCACTTTAACCTTAAGCTTTTGACTCGACAGAGATTGGTCTCAAGCCTAAGGTAGCTTGACAATACTCTGAGTTATACCAAAAAAAAAAAAAGAAAAATTGGACAAGGGCTAAATTTTCGGACCACACAGTAACCTCTAACTATTTTTATTTGAATTTTCAAGAAAATTAGTTCTTATTTTTTCAAAAATTAGATTTAAAATGATTTACTTCATTTTTGGGGAAATAATCCTCTCCATATACTCCTTAAATTCGAAAAATAATAATTCATAATTTTTACTTAACTTTTCTAAACCTTTATATAATTTTAATAATTATATTCACATTTATCTCTTTAAAATTTCACCCAAAAATAGGTATTTTAGCCAAACAAATTCTTTATTTAAATAATTTCTCCCGGCCTTAAAATTATCCTGGATATCCCTTTTCTATTTTTCAGGAATTTTGTTTGAATTTTCTCAAATTTTTGGGAATTGTTTCATAATTACACTTTAGGCCTAATATGCTTCTTGCTTATGCTTGTGTCCCTAAACTTCTCTCATAATTACACCATTTGGCCCAATTATTTTTTCCTCCTATTTTGGCTTACATGGTCTCTAAATTCTTGCTTTCCCTTGACTAGTTCATACATGTTTTTTTTCCTTTTTTTTCCCCATACTTAATCAATATGTAAAAAGAAAAATCCTGCAAAAAAATTTTAAAATGCTAAATTTTAAAAAAAAAAATTTGCAAAAATGAAATATTTACAAGTAAAGTATTATCAAAACCTATTAAAGTTTAAGAACCAAACTTAATTTAAAATTTAGTAATTTTAAGTTTTTTGGAGAGATTCTCCTTATATAAAACTACACGACATATGTTTATATAAAAAAAAATTACTATGTCCGTATTGTTTGTATATATTCAAACTAAAAGGAAAATATTACGATATATATATATATATATATATATGGATATAGCTTTATGCGTTGAAGTCATTTGAAAATAATAATGACGCTGGTGATGATGAAGTAATTTCCAAAAGATCAGCCATTTTTGTATTAAAATAATTCCTTGTTCCTCGATAATTGCTTTTTTATAATTGAAGGTCACAATCAAAATTCGGAGAAGTAGTTCAACACTGGTGCTCACAGCTTGAATTCCTCACCTTTTGACTCTCTTCATCTATCCCCAGTCACTAACGGTGTGTTTAGGTTGACAGTAGCAAAAATGAAGCTATCTTCTCGACATTGCATTTGTTTGTGGATTACCAGGATGGCTTCTTCCCCGTAACTAATGTGAGAGCAGCTTGAGCGAGAACGTGTCTTCAGCATGACTAACCCACCGACTACGACATGTTTCTCCTCTTATTCTTCCAAATCCTTTTCACTATCTGCGCATTCTACACTCCGGCAACTGCGGTAGCTCCGGCAATTTTCCCTCTTCCGATGGCCGTAACTGGACTGGAGACAAAGACTCCGGACGATTCTCTCTCATCGAACACTCCAACGGCGACAACTCATGACGTAGCATCAACGAACTTGGGAAAACAATCCCTTACAACACTCTTCGCCTCTCTCGCTCAGAATTCTCCTACCGGTTTCATGTGAAAACCGATGGCCAGAAGTTTATTCGCTTTTATTTTTACCCATCTTTCTACGGCTACGACTTCCTTTGTGGCCACTCTTTCTTCTCCGTCAGAGCAGGATCTCACACTCTTATGCAAGACTTCAATGCTTCAACAACCGCTGATGTCGCTGGCCAAGAAACCATTTTACGAGAGTATTGCATCAACGTTGGTAAAAATGTTGGAAGAGAGAGAAACTAATCATATGTTTGGTGTGAGGAGAATGGAGGGAAAAGAAGGTAAATTTTTTTAATGAGTTTGATTTAAAAAATAGAAAAAGTAGGGTTTAAAATTTTAATAAAGATAAAATATAAAATGAAAAATTAATAAAAAATTAATTAAAAGTTTTAAATCTTATTTTTCTAAGTTTTTAAAATAAACCCATTAAAATTTTGTTCACCCTTCTTTCCATCTTTTTCTCTCGTATCAAAGAGACCCTGCCGATGGAGAGAAAAATTATTAAATATAAATTTTAGTGACGCCCATGATCTTTTACGGGAGCGCATTCGGTGGTCATAGGCTGATGAGCACGGCGTGCTCAGCACTCAAAAACGCTTAGCAGTGGACGACGTTAGTTTTTTCCCCCCTCCTTGTTCATCACAAAGAAATATACAATTTTTTTGGTTTTTAATATAAAAGTTTATTTGATTTTTATTTTGATCCTGAATATAAGATTCTAGTTCACTTTATTTCTCATGTTTATTTATTTTTTTTCTCAAAGTAGTCATTATAATAATAGTGATTTTAGCCAATACATTTGATTGGCAAAGATATTTTAGAAAAAATAACACATATTATTACAAATAGTTAATTTAACTAGTTTTTTAATCTACTCTTATATTAAGGTCCGAAGGTAATATATATTAAAATTATTTTTAGATTAAGTTTCATCCAATATTCTAAAATATTTTTTCATGTGTATTCAATAAAAATATTAGATGTATCTAAAAAATATTTTAAAGTGTTGGATGAATCACAAAATATTTTAGGATACTAGATGTATTTAACAAAATATTTCAGGGTAATGGATGATTGCCTGAAAAATAATTTAAAGTACTAATTTAAGATGAGTAGATTAAAAATAATTTAAGGTATTGGATAGTTACATCAGAAAATATTTTAAGATGTGTGACACATCTGAAAAAAATATTTCAACATGCTAGATGAAATGCAATACTTTAGAATAACGAAGATACATGAAAAACAATATTTTAAAGTACTAAATAAAACTTAAACCAAAAATAATTTTTATGCACACATTTTTTTTTAATAAGAAAAGTAAAAAGGGCGGGGAGCCAAAAAAACCCTGTGCCCAATGCTCATCAGGCTGATGAGCACGGAACGCGGACGCTATCTGTTATTGCGCTGATGCCATGTAATAATGAATCTATTTAAGTTGGTTTTGTAGATCATAATGACGTGGCACTCCGGAGCATGCAAGAGTTCCTTAATGATTTTTGGATTTTCCCCCCTTTTCACCAACCATCTTTTCCTTCTTTCCCGAAATCAGAGTTGCCAACTTGCCATTGTTGAATGAGTTGACTGCTGTACCGCAAAATGATATGCTAATTACACGTGTGATTATACAAGAGTTTTACTTTTCACAATACCCATTAACGTAACTGTAATTATAATGTTTTAAAAAAAAAATAATACAAAGAATTATTGTGGACGCTTGAAAGCAGCTATCTTCTTGACATTGTATGTGGATTACAAGATGGCTTCTTCGCTGTAACTGCTGTCGGCAGCTTGAACGAGAACGTTCTCTTCAGAATGACTAACAGTTACCCGCCAACAACAGCCATATTTTTCCTCTTACTCTTCCGAAACCATTTCACTATCTGCGTATCCTACAATCCTGTTGATCACTTCGCAATCAGCTGCGGTAGCTCTGACAATTCTCCTCCTTCAGATGGCCGGAACTGGACCGCAGACTCCGGACGATTCTCTCTGATCAAACTCTACGACAGCTACAAGTCATCAGTAAGCACCAACTCACTTGTCAAAACAATCCCTTACAACACCGCACGCTTCTCTCTCTCCGAATTCTCCTACTTCCTTCCTGTAAGAACCAACGGCCAGAAGTTTATTCGCCTTTATTTTTACCCATCTTCCCACGCCCGCAATCTCCTTCGCTCCGACTCGTTCTTCTCCGTCACAGTTGGATCTCATACTCTTTTGAAAGACTTCAATGCTTCAATTACTGCTGATGCCGCCGGCAAAAAAACCATTTTACTAGAGTACTGCGTCCATATTGGTGACCCTAGTGGGGGCCTTAACATAACTTTCACGCCCAACCCATCTCATCAAAACTCCTATGCTTTCGTCAACGGCATCGAGGTTGTCTCTATGCCCACCTTTCTTTATTATACAAACCTAAGCAACTCGCAGGGGATTTTTATACAGTATCCGGTCACCAATGACAGTGCTCTCCAGACTGCATACAGAATCAATGTTGGTGGGAGGCAGATCCCTCCCGAGAATGATACTGGTATGTTTCGGAGGTGGGACCTGGATAAGGCCTACTTGAAGAGGGAGAGGCCACGAAGTGTTTCAGCAGGACATGGTTTAAAGCCAATTTACACAGGTGAACCAAGTTATTTTACGCCTGATGAAGTATACATGACTGCACGAAACTATGGGACGAAAGAAACGTCCAAATTTAATGTGACTTGGGAATTCGAAGTTGACTTGGGGTTCATTTATATGGTGAGATTGCATTTTTGTGAGTTCGATGAAAACATTGAAAAAGTTGGAGACAGAGTTTTCCAAATCTTCATAAATGATGCTTTGGTGGAGGCTGTCGCTGATGTAATGTCGTGGACTCAAAGTCAGAGAAATGTTCCTGTACATAGGGACTATCAGATGTGGATGCCAATGGATGGAAGCTCAAAGAAGCTAAATATTTCAATTAAGTTGCAACCAGAACCTACTCCAAGGAGCAGGAGCACTTACAGAGATGTGTTGTTGAATGGTATTGAAATTCTTAAGATAAGTGACTTCAACAACAACCTCGGAGGTCCCAATCCCGATCAACCTCCTTCTCCCTCATTCCTTCCGAAGGCATCTAACCATAATGCACAGAAAAGGAGAGTAATTTCCATACTCGTGGGGTCAGCTTCCGGCTTCATTGTGCTATCTCTCATTGTTTTACTCACTTATCGTCGATTCGCTAGGCTGCAATCAGTGAAGGGAATTCCAAGTGGAGACCAAAACCACTACCAACGTCAGAAATGAACAAATCCTCATTGTTATCATCCGATCTGTGTCGTTGCTTTTCAATTAGCGAGGTAAAAGCAGCCACTAATAATTTTGATGATAGCTTAATTATAGGTGTTGGAGGGTTTGGTAATGTCTATAAAGGCCAAATTGACAATGGTTCAGTTGTTGTGGCAATCAAACGGCTCAAGAAGGTTCACAACAAGGCTCAAAGAGTTCCAAACTGAGATTGAAATGCTCTCTCAACTTCGACACCATCATTTAGTGTCTCTTATCGGTTATAGCACAGATGATGCAACGAGATGATCCTTGTCTACGAGTTCATGGCTCGTGGGACCCTACGTGACCATCTCTACGAGTCTGATCAGTGCCCACTTTCTTGGCAACAAAGGATGGAGATTTCTCTGGTGCAGCACGTGACTGCACTATTTACATACAGGTGCGAAGCACGCTATCATTCACCGTGACATCAGTCAACAATATCTTGATAGATGAGAATTGGATGGCCAAGATTTCAGATTTCGGACTCTCCAAAATAGGACCCTCAGGATCACGAGGTCCAACATTAACATCAGCACAGTAGTAAAAGGAAGCATTGGATATTTGGATCCAGAGTATTACATGTGTCAAAGATTGACAGAGAAGTCAGATGTGTACTCCTTTAGAGTGGTCCTTCTGGAGGTATTGTGTGGGAGGCCTCCTATCATTCGTGCAGTGGAGAGGCAGCAACAAAACATTGTAGAGTGGGTTCGAAGATGTGTTGATGAGAATAATATTTATGAGACGGTGGACCCATTCATCAAGGAAAGCATAACGCCAGAAAGCTTGAAGGAATGCACAAGATTGCTTTAGAGTGCTTATCTGATGATGGGAATGAACGGCCATCCATGGGCGATGTGATGTTTGGGCCTTGAGTCTGTGATGGAGACGCTGAACAGAGCAAAGACAAGCAGAGCTTGGTGGGGCTCTGAATCAAGAGGTTACTTTTGACGAAGGTAGGCTTTCAATGGGTGGTGGCCATTACCACCTTGTGTGGTCCTTCAGTGTTCGCCGATATCAAAGGTATCGATTGCATGCCCCATCACTACAATATCATTTTGTTTTTAGTGAATCTTCCAAGCACGTTGCGAAGCGCAATTGTGATCGAACAAGGCACTTGTTGCTGCATAATTATAGTTTTAAATGGGGAATATTTTAAAAAAGTAATTTTTGAATTTCAAAATCCATAAAGATCACACATCAATTTAACAAATTCTAAATTTGTCATGATGATTAAATTTGAATTTTGAAATGTTTGTAAATTTATAATTTTATTTTAAGATTTTTTTTAAAAAAAATCTCAAGTCCCTCTCACTAGTTGGTTGATTAGCTTTTGACAACCTATGCTGGAGTTTAGGTGGGCCATTAGGCACTAAAGTTTCAGTGACTGGTAACTTTTTTTTTTGAATTTTTTAATATTTGTAATGTGATTAATAACTTTATAACAATTTCACAACTTCATTAACACAATTAAACCTGTACTGTACTTTTTTAGGTTTTTAAATTGTCATTTTTTAAAACATTTGTAACATAATTAACAAATCTTGTAATGATATTTACAACTTCCTTAACTCCATTAACCATATGTTTTTTTTTTCCAGATTTTTAGCTAGGATTTTTTTCAAACATTTATACTGTGAATGGCAACTCTTATAATAATATTCACAACTCTATTAATATCATTAACTAGTTTATATGATAGGGCATAGCTATACATATATATAATTTGGTTGAAAGGAATTAAGGTAGGGATCTTTGAAAATATTGTGTCTGTATTTATAGTCTTTTTTTTTCATGCTCATTAGCTAGACCGTCTGGGTATTAGTTTGGATGAGCATCCTAATCTTATTAGATCTAGATGGTTTAGATCTAATAATGATTGAGATTTAAAATTTTTAATTAATAATAAAAATTTATTCTTAAAAAAATAATAGTTAAGATATTATCTTTATTTCATATTCCATACTTGTTAAAATAGTTATTAATTAAAAAAAATCAAATATGAATCGCTCAAATCATATTTGTACGGTCTAAATCTAATAGTTTGGAGTACTCAATATGATAAACATCCAAACTAAGCCTGACCATCCGGACGGCATTTAACCCGCTTTGATGTCCGTTGTACATGAAATAGTACTAATTACTCCTCCGGTCCTTAATATAGGACCCAATTGTTGAGCTAGTTTTGGTC